TATAGGGAGCACCCTCTAGTGTCATTGGCTGCCACAACACCACAATTACCCTGCCAGCAGGTGCAATTCATCCTGCCACATTATTATTATAAAAGCATCACACAAAACAAATCTGAGAATAGAAGATCTTTTTACAGTTTGTCTCTGAGCATGACTGTGGTGTTGACTCTGATTTTGCTTCAGCACTTTATCATCTTCTTCACCTCCTCTCTGCACATGGTGCATCTCTGACTCACATTCTATTAACTTCCGAATTTCCCTGCATCTAGTTATTATGTTTGACCATGCAGAGAGGAGAATCACACATGCAGGATGTATTTGCATCTATTTGCACATTTAAATAAAGGTGTTTCAGAGTCAGTTCCATGTTTGTTGTGATGTATGAAGGAAAGAAGGCAGAAATACAGTTGTATAAATCTGAATGTGCATTGGTCCGTACACCAACTTYTGACATGGGCCCTGCATGATGGTACAATAAATCTGTCCTGTCCTGCTTCTGATCCAAGCTCTGTGTGTTGGTTTGCCTGTCAGCAAATTATCTCATGAACTACTAGACAAATTTAAATGAAACTGTCAGAATGTGATCATTGGCTGTACATCTGAAACTGATTACCTTTTCAATTCAAGACGGACACCAACATCACATTAACCAAAACAAAATTGGTAGTAACTCAGTCAGTTTAGAAGATTCTGGAGAGATTCAATGCACATGCATGAACACGTACTTTGAGTATATGAACATTACCAAAACAGCTACAACTTCATCATTTGTCAGTACAAGATCTCAGTCTAAAACTCTGGCAGGTATGCATATGCAACAAAGGCAATGCATAAGGCTTTATATATGTTACTTCAATTTTATTGCATTGTACAGTATTTTAATTTATTTTATTATTTTTTAATATTATTATTTTAATTCTATTAATATCACTACTTTTGATAATGTCACAAAGCTCTATATTGTTTTGTGGATTGATGTACCTGCTGCTGCTGTTACACCTGAATTTCCCCTCTGCTGGACAATAAAGGCTGTTTCTATTCTATTCTATTCTATTCTATTCTATTCTATTCTATTCTATTCTATTCTATTCTATTCTATTCTGTTCTGTTCTG